CAACTTTTAAGTACAGATAATACTACCAAAACCTTGTAATGGATTTGTCTGCTGGCGATGTGTAAATTCACTGCACTCCTAAATGCAATCTTCTCTGTGCGTAACCCACTCAAAAATTAGTATCTTTCAATTGCAGAAAGCAAAGCAAGTGTTTGAAAGATAATTGTGCTTTTAATTTTTCTGTTTAAATTAAATGTTTTCTGTGTTTTCTCACCATGCCTGGTGCTGGTGAGGGCTGTGTGCATCTTCCCCAGGCTGGGGTGTGGCTGTGTATTCACCTGTGGGCTCTTCAGTGGGGCTGGGGGTGAATAGCAGGGGCCTCAGGTCTGGGCCAGGTGTTGGGTGAGGATTCTTGGGGGGGGAGGAGGGTCTTCTGAGTACGGTGTACTTGAGGGACCAGTGTGTGTGTGGTGGTTTAACCCAGCTGGCAGCTCAGCACCATGCAGCTGTTGGGTCACCCTTCCTCCCTTGGTGGAATTTCTGAGGGGAGGGGGCAACTAAAAGCTTGTGTGTTGATATAAAGGCAGTTGAACAGGATGGAAGAGTAAGAAAGATAATAAAATCTGTACAAACCAACCAATGCATAAGGCAATTGCTCATCACCCCCTGGCTGATTCCTAGGCTGTCCCCACACAGAGGTCTTCAAGCCCTCTGGCTAGTCACCCCTTGAAACCACTCATCAGGAAGCCACATCTGGAATATTCCTTCAGCCAGCTGGGGGTCAGCTGTCCTGGTTCTGTCCCCTCCCAGCTCCTTGTGTGCCCCCAGCCTGCACACTGGCAGGGCGCTATGAGAAGCTGAGAAGTCTTTGGCTTTCTGAAAGCACTGCTCTGTAACAATTAAAACATCAGTGTATTACCAATGTGAGTCATTTTAAATCCAAAGCACAACAGCACACCAGGTGCTGGGAGGAAAATTATTCTATCCCAAACCAGGATGGAGTCATGCCTGAGAGCTGAAGCTGGAACTGCTGGTGAGGAGGAGAGCTGAGAAGTAGGTAAGGGGTGTAGGATATGGGCAGGGGTTCTGGAAAGCCAGAGGGGCCTTTTTTGGTGTTCAAGGATCTGCAGCTGTGTGTGTTCCTGTGAAAATGGAGAGTGCTGTATGCGTGCCTGCAGTAGTGGACTTGTATCCTCCCTAGTTGGAGAGGAAGAAGGGGACTTGACCGAGTCTTAGGTCTCCGTGAGTTGTGTCAAAGATAGCCTTTGGCTCAGGCAGCTTGGGTGATACACCTTTTGTATCCTGTTTATCCCTTGTAACTGTGCTCAGCTCATGTTAGCATTCAAACTTGGGAAAGTGTTTTGCCTGTAAATTTCTGGAGTACTTGCATGTGCTTCAACACCAAGATGAAGGGTAGATCTGAGAGATACAGTTCCTATGCTGTGCTACCTCTTGCAGTTGTTTTAGAAAGAGAAAACAGGATAATGGACTAGTAAAGGTGTCTCTTCGTGCCAGAATTTCCTTGTTTGATGTCCTCTGAAGATGGTTTGAAAATACAGATCTATTTCTTAAGTCCCTAGGGAATTGCAGAGTAGATACAATCAACTATTTATTCCTGAGGGCAAAGTAGTAATGTGGTTTAAGGAAATGGGAAGGACTTGGAGTAGATTGCTTGTGAAGCCCATATTCTGTCACAGTCGAGTACAAGGGCAATTCAAAAGACAGGGCTTTTCAGTATTTTATTTGTAGGGTGTTTGGTGAAATGGTGAGGGGTTGCTGGGTAATGGGGTTATGGTTGTCATTTGTGCTTACTAAACCAAGCACCTTTCTGGCAGCTCTTGACCAGCTTCCTAGTTCAAGAACTGCATTACCAGCATCTTTGAAACAGTCCTTCAGGGTTTCTCTATCTTCCCTAAAATGCCTCCAGAATCTCAGGACTCCTTTAGGCCTTTTAAACAGAAAAATGAGTCTGGTGGGGAGGCAAACAAAGGTGACATAGCACTTCCAGAATGTGCCTGTGTCCTCTGTTTCTCAGTCCTCTTTTAAAAAGAAGAATGATGATAGGTGTAGGTAGTGAAGGCACTACACCTTGTTTACTTTTTTTGGGTGTTGGGGGAACACACTGTGTGCTACTCTGAAAACAGGGTCATTTCATCTCCTGGCTTCTCTGGGCACCATGTAGTAACCACCTGTGCTGTCTTTGCAGCTGTGGTTCTGACAGCATGGGGGAAAGGAAGACCTTAGCAGGAGCACCCCCTGCTGACCACCTCCTCCTTTCTAGCCCTTTCCAGAAGTTTCTGGAACATGGGCTGCTCATGTGGGGGTAATAAGCATATGGGGTGAGGGCTGGAGGTGGAGACTTGGGGGACTGGCTTATAAATTGTGCAGCAAGTGGTGCACTGGTGGCTGGAGGGAAGCTGCAGGTCACATGTGTGCCTGCTGCTGGTGAGGGCTGTTTTTCTTTTCCTGGGCTGAGGTATGTGGGGTGTGCATTTGTATTTACCTGTGAACTCTGAAGTTGGACCAGGTGAACAGCAGGGTCCTTAGGTCTAGGCCAGGACCTAGGCCAGGAGTTTGGTGGGGATTCTCGGGTGTCTTGTGAGCATGGTGTACTTGAGGGATGTGTTTGTAGTGGTTTTACCCAGCCTGCAGCTCAGCACCATATAGTTTTTTCCTTAACTTTGCCATGTGAGTGGGATTGGGGAGAGAAATGGGGGGAAAATGTAAAAGTTTGTGGGTTGAGATGAAGACAGTTTAATAGGCCAGGAAAACAAAAAATGGTAACAGTAGTCATGGAGCAAAACAGGTGATGCATGCTGCAACTGCTCACCACCCACTGAAAAACACCCACCCCCATCCCTGAGCAGTGGTGTGTTCAGCATGAAGCCTCACCCTTTTGACCAGTTTGGATCAGCTGTCCTGGTTGTCTCCTTCCAGCTCCTTTTCCCCCCACCCCCCAGCCTGCTCACTGGCAGAGTAGTATGAGAAGCTGAAAAGCCTTGGGCTTAGTGTAAGCACTGCAGCGATTATACTGGTAGCAGCAAATAGCATCCCAAAGTGCAGAAAACATCTGGTAAGTGTTGAAAACCTAGCCACCTAATTCAGCGTAAAACTAAAGATAATGTAGTAGTGGTTTACAGCTCTTGAAAATGTAGCCCAACTTTTCCCACAGAGAATTGCAATATTTGGACCCAGAAGGAAAACTTGTCACTGATTTTAAGTCTCCTAGTCAAAACCTAGGATCACTGTGGCTTCCAGCATCAGCACCAGTGTCCTGTTGTCAGGATAGCATGACTGTTTGTTAGATCTGGGCATGAGACACTGAACTCCTTTTGACAATAGAGCAGTTGGCTCAGCATTGGTTTAGCTTAGCAAGGCTAAAGACAACAGAAATGGATATAACAGCATGGACTACTTTTTAGCAGGGAAGCACACAATAAAATCAAAAATACAACCTTAAGAAGCCATAACACATAAAAAGCACACATGAACACAGAAGTCAGAACTAGCCTGCATTTTAAGTCAGAATTCAAAATGTGTATTAAAAATCCTTAAGGATCACTATGAGGCCAGAGCTGAAAATGCGTCATTTGCAATTCTTCACTGTCCTCTAAAGGCTTTTTCAGGAATTTCAGCCTTGGAGTTTGAACAGCATATCTTAAATGTTCTGTACTCAGGCAATCCTGAAACACAGACCACAACATCAAGGTGGGAGGCTTACGCAGAGCTTCAACTAGAGCTCTACAGCTAGCTACAAGGGCATCAGCCTAAGCAGGGTCACAGGCAGTGTTTGTGGGGTGTGTTATGCTGTGCAGACAGCATAGCTCCCATCTCCCAAAGGAATGGGATCAACAGGACTTCTATTTGGTGTTCTGATAGTTTGGCCTGATGGTGAAGCTTGGAAGTCCTCTGTACATGTCTGTCTGCCTTAAGTGGAAAATGTGCATCTGAATTAAATTGGCAGGACTAACTAAAACAATGGTTTTTGCTTGCTACTTGCCTACTTCTAAGGTGCTCATGAGAATTTACTTGCAACTCAAAGGTCAAATGTTTTTTTACATTAACACCCAATTCTGTAATTGCTCATTAAGATACTCTATACTTTTCCAGTAGTACCTGTACATACTTCTGACATGTTTCTTTTGAGTCACTTAGTGTGCCCTTGTACATTTTTTTATGAAGTAGTAACATATTTTTTTCCTGAACTAGCTGGATACCAGCCAGTAGCTCCTTTTATAATTATTTCCTATTCTGTTATTAATATTCACGTGTTTTTGGTTTAGTTTGTAGGAACTTAAATGTATTTTAATCTCCCAAACTTTTTGCCTATAAACTACTGGAATACGTGCATGTGCTCTTCCCCAAGAGTGAGGGTGGATCTACCCAATACTGTTGCTATGCTGCACTAACTCTTGCAGCTGCTTGGCTCCATTTGCCTTAGAAGATAGAGACACCTTACTAGTAAGTTGTCTCTCCAAACATGCCAAAAATACTTTTTTCTTTGGTGTCCCCTGAAGGTGTTTGGAGAATGCTTTAAAAATAACTTGAAGTCTACAGGGAGTTACAGAGCAGATTGAATCAACTATTTTTTCCTGAAGGCAAAGAGGTAACCTGGTAACACAGCACTTCTCAGTATCTGAACTCTAGTAGGAGGTTGTTCTTAGAAATTCTGAGGGGATGTTTGTGTAATGTTGTGGTTATGATTATTTGCCTTTTCTAAAGGAAGCACCTTCCTTTCAACTCTTGAACTGTGTATTTCAAGAACTGAGTTAACTCTTGAACTGCGTATTTCAAGAACTGAGTTAACAACACCTTTCACACAGTCCTTCAAGGCTTCTCTGTCTTCCCTAAATGCATTAAGAATCTCAGAACTCCTCTAGACCTTTGAAAGGGAGAAATAAGTTTGGGGGGAAGGCAAAGGTGAAGTCGTGACTTGGCATTTTTAGAATGCATCTGTTCTCTGTTCCTCAGTTCTCTAAAAACGAGAATGACTATGGGCTTTTAGGGAGTGAAGTCACTATGCCTTCTTTTTTTTTGGGGGGGGGAGAACAAACTGCATGCTAATCCTGGAAAAAAGATGAAATGACCCTGACCTGTTTTAGGAATTCATTCATTTTAGAAGTGAGAGATCCTAGATGCGTGACTGCCTAGTTTTTGTGGTATGAGTCTGAAACACAAACAACTGGCTGGCTTTCCACTCTGCATGGTGTGGGAAGACTTCATACACATTGGAATTCCATTTTTGACAACTCATACCTGTCATATCTTCAGTGTTCAAACTGATAAAACAATAATACAATTGCATTTTCAATCTAATAACGTTTATCTAATTTAGCTGCTGTTCTGATGTCTTCAGGAAGAAAATATTTAACAGCGTTCACTCCACAAAGAGCTCAAGTAAACTAACTGCAGTGATAGAAGTTTCACCTCCTACACTGCCTGGATTTTTCTGTGTTTTTCTTGCTTTCCTGAGTAGATCTTAGGTTATAACTGACTATCTTTCAGGATGTCTGATCTCTTTTCCTGTGCCCTTCTTTCCTTTTTTGAGCAACTATCCATCTTGGTTTCTTCAACTTTCTGACCTCCATATTCCCTGTGATGCAGTATACTTCTGTTCATCTCTATCCTCCAACTTGCTATTGATTCTGTTTTCACTTGCTCTGTTCTCGGGTTTTGGCCCAAGGATTTTGAGAGAATGGTAACTTCCAAATGAAAAGAAATACTGATGGATGCACCTTTGCTGCTTCTCTGGTGAGAGAATGCAAGTAAAAAGGTAACCCAAGTGATTTTGATACCTTTGGATGCATTGCTCCAAACTAGCATATGGTATTAACAATACTGTGTCAGGGGGCTTAGGTTAATACTTTAGAGAGACCAAATGGTTGGTACTTGAAACTCCTAGTATTCCCTGTCAACATAAAACTAAGCTGTTTCTTATATTTAACTCAGCAGTTCAGCAAGCTGAGTGACATCTGACTGGTTACGTCAATGACTGCTGAAGTACCATGAATTAACTGTGGATCAAGAAAGAAAACATGAGCTTTGCTGTTAGCCTCATCGCTGTAAGCGTGTTTATTTTGTTACATTAATATGGTTACAGACCTGTTTTAGCAGTCCTGCAGAACGCCTTGCTCTTCCTCTTGTAACTGTCCCTGTTGCACTTGAAAATGTTTGCACATCTTCCAGCTCTTCTTTTCCTCTCTTATTTTCCTCTCTTAGGGTAGAATCTTGTTACAAGGTGAAGGGGGTATTTTAAGGCTTAAGGAGCCAAAAGATGTTCAAAATAAATTAGGCACTTCTGAGAGTCACTTGTACATGAAATAGGCTCCATTATTTCTGAGATTGCTTGTTCAAAAATTAAAATGAGTACCCACAGCTGGTTGGTAAGGTCAGCATTAGGAAATGTGCATAAAATGTCACAGGACTTCAGTCTTTAACTCTAGACTTAATGAATTAAGCTTCAGTTTCTAGATAGCCTTCATTAATCATTTGTTCTTTTGATGATTTAACTTTTTAACTGTGTGCTCAAAAATTAACATGGACACTTGAACATGTTAACATAGAAAATCATTGTGATATGTGGCATACTGGAAACTACAGTTTTCACACTGACCAAAGATAGTTGGCCATTCTTGAAAGAAGTGGTACTTCGGTTGAAAGATGTTCTGTACAAAAAAAGGACACCTTAAAAAATGGGAAGGTGGGATAGTTTCCTTTAGATGTGATTATTTCAGTTAAAACAAGTCAGGGAAAGATTCTGTGTAGAGTTGAGATGACGTTAGCATTTGTTCACTGCATCTGGTGTAACAGGAGAAAATCCACAAGGCCTTGAGTGAAAAATCAGGATCTGTAAAGTAATCCATGCTGACATAAATCTTGTACCCTAAATATGTAACTAATTTTCTGAGAAATACTCTACAATGTGCATCTCTATGTTCTAGTGGGTGTTTACAAGATGATAAAACTGCATCAGTACAGTACCATGAGTTAGTTAAGCTCTTTTAACATAGGAAGGTTACATTTCCTGAGATGTTCAAATTTTTTACTTCTCTAGTGTTTGTGTTAGGTCAAGGTGTCACTTCCATCCATGTAAGCTACCTGGTGAAATATGCCTTGTACTTCTAAATAATACATACTACTTTCCAGTTCCTTGGACACCGGGTGTCATTCTAGGATGTCTGTTGATTAATGTTTTTGTATTTCTACTTGGGAGATTTCTGAGAAAAATTGCGCTAAGTCCTTGGAAATAGTCAGGAGAGGACTGAACATGTGGGGTGAATTAGCAGTGGCTCTGGAATGGGACACAGACAGCAGGAGGAGCTGGGCATGTTTCAGCTTGACATGCAATCACTTGAGCTCTCTGCTGTAGTTACATTTTCAGATGCCGTAGCTCCAACAGAAGAACATAGGTTCACCTATAATACACATTTCCTGCTGGTAATTTCAAAGATATCCATCTTGATTTACCTTCTAAGATGGGTAATAGTTAATTGCACTTGTGATCAACCTACAGTTGCCAGCAAGTCTTTCTTGAAAGAAGACTAGACACAGGAGGTAGTGATGCTTCAGCCCCTCCTTGCAAGTGCATTACTGTTCATGGGGTCATCCAAGGGATGGCAGAGGTAAATCTTGAATACTTGTTGACTTGGAGGGCACTGACATCACAGGCAAAGGCTCCTTGCAGCTGTAGATATCTAGGCCTGTGTGAGCATCCCACATAATTATCCCTGGCCCTTAGAGTCATTGCAGTTCCCCATCTGTGCAGAAGCCTGTCACAACCTGGAATGAAGACTCTGCTCATCTGTATTTGATGGCAGGAGTGCCTGCAGGTCATGCATGTATCTAACATCTCCCCAGAAAGCTGTTTACCCTGCCTTTAAGGTAGATCCTTTGAGCCATGGGTGGGTAGCAGGGATAAGAGTCAGTCTTTACTGATGTCACAGAGTAAGAACTGACTTTATTTATGCCTTGTGTTTGGGACATGCTGCTGTGCTTTGCATTTGAGGCTAAAACAGGCTGTTTGGGGCTATTTGTTATGGTGTAACCTGGCAGACAGCGAAGTACCATGCATCTGCCTCCTGTTGCTGAGGGTTATTGGATTTCCAGCAATCCAACAACAAAAGGATTCTCCAAAAGGAAAGACAGCTACTTAATTTGCTGTATTTCCAAGACAGTTATGCCAGAAGCCCACTGGTGACTTTGGGATTATTGAAGTACCCTCTCTTTTGATAGTGTATGTCAAGCATGTGTGGAGCCTTGGGGCCAGTCACAGTGGGGTGCATTTGCCACTCATTTCCAGTTAGACTCTCTTCAAGTTCAAGTACAGTTAGCTGTTGGGATCCCCCTGTCACTCCACAAATACAGATGGGGTCTGCTGCTTTCTAACTTGCTGGCATTAGGGTACACTGGTGCCCACTAGTCTTAAAGTCTTGTGGGGCTGATGTTCCAGGCCACTGAATCCACACAGTTGGATAAACCTGGTTGTCCTTCTCTCCACTTGGCTGGAGGCATGGCCCATCTAGTCCTGGTCATTCCTGTGTCTGGATGACTGCCCACGGAAACCGGAGCAGCAGTTCTCTCAGACACTTCTCAGTTCTCTCAGACAGTGCTTTTGCAGTTGTTCTCCTTGTAATTCACGTACCTCTAGGGTCAAGGCAGATCTTACCATCCCATTTTCTCATGTCCTCTCCATGATCATGCAGGTAAAACTGCAGGGTGGCATATGCTGTGTACCCACTATATCCTGAGCAGAGGGGAATGCTTGCTCCTAGTAGCTGAGATTTGTACAGGTAGGGAGTAGGATATAACCTTGTTGAATTGCTGGAACTTCCAGGGCAGTTTCTGCACAGCATTTTTGATTGGTAGGCCTTTGAGGAAACCTTCTCAACAGCTGAGATGCGAGCCCATTGGGAGGGAGAGAGGCTTTCTTTGCATTACTGAAGTTGGCCAGCCAATTAATCTGGCATATGTTCCTCTTCTTCTTTCCAGCTCATTACTGCCAATGAATTGGCACAGAACAATGGTGCACTCTATACAAACTTCTGCTGCAGTGGTCACATGTGCTTGACTTAAACTGGATCTTTGGAGAACGGGTCGTCGTACTGCAGGTCACCATAAACCCCCCAGCATGGCTAACTTCCTTTAGTATTGGATCCATCTCTATGGAGGCCCACTTGCTTGGGTGACATCTTCCCTGAAGGGATACTTCTCTTCCACACCTAACAGGACTTGCCTCTGGATGCTGATGATTTGTGACCCTTGTCCCATTGCTCTGTCAACACCACCTTCCCTCAGAGGGATCCAGCTGCTTGGCTTCCCTGTGCTCTAATTCCAGGCTACTGGCCTTCTTACTCCTGCACTGGAGCAACCAGGTGACAGGGTGCTCACCTAGATGATGGCAGAAATCTTCCTGTATGTCTCACAGCTCATACCCATAGCCCAGCTGTTGGGACTGGGCCCTTTTCCGCTGAGCAACCTTCCAGCCCACACCACTGTTATGGGTTCTGGTACAAATGCAGCACCCAGCATTTACATTTGACTGTCGCTTAGTCAGACTTGGCCTATTGACGTAGCCTATGCAAACTGTCAGGGAGTTGGTCTGCTTCAGGATAGGATGGCTTTGGAGAGCCCAATTAGTATTGTCTGCAAGCTTACAGAGGGTGGACTTGACCCACTTCTCAAGATCATTGATGAGAATACTAAACTGGATGGAGCACTGGGGAACCTCTCTGGTGACCAGCCACCAACAGGATTGAACTCTGTGCACTGAGTCTCTGAGCCCAGCCATGCAGCCACTTCTTCACACAGCAAACCTCTTCAAGCCAGTCTCTGCAGGAGAATACCGCGGGAAACACTCTGAAAAGATTTACTAAGATTCTAGTAGATGATGTCCACAAGTGAGCTGGGCAGGACCTACCTCTGATAAACGTGTTCTAAGCACAGCTGATCACTTGATTGTCTGATAAATTCTGTACAAGACAAAGACTACAGCAAAAAGGCATGCAGTGCCTCAGCCTTATCTGCACTTTCTGTCCTCCATGTTACCCCTTGCATCTGTGAGAAACAAGAGCCAATAACACAACACAGGCTCAGGCAAGGATCTCAGTGAAGTAGCATTTTTGTTAGCAACTGCACTGGCAGGCATCCTGCAAGCAGGAGTGCAGATTCCCTATTACCTGATGCTTAATTCCTCCCATTTCCTCATTGGCTGAGTACTTCAGGTTCACAAACTACTTGACACTTGTTGCTATATGTATTGTATATTTGTACGATTGCATATGACCAACCATTAATTGGTCACTTTCTTTTTTTTTTTTTTTTTTTTTTTTTACCTTCTCTCAGGACTAGAGGGCCTATGATTTTTTGTTCTTACTGATTTTTCACTGCTTATCCTGTATTTTCTTTTTTTTTTTTTTTTCAGACAGGATCTTCTGTGAAGCTGTTTTATTTGCTATTGCAATGGTGGGCATCCTGCAAGTAGGAGCATGCAGTAAAAGTTGACCATAACCTTATATTCCCTACTACTGACACCTGATTTCTCCCTTTTCCTCATTGGCTGAATACTACAGGTTCATAACCTACTTGATCACAGAATCACAGAATTTCTAGGTTGGAAGAGACCTCAAGATCATCGAGTCCAACCTCTGACCTAACGCTAACAGTCTCCACTAAACCATATCCCTAAGCTCTACATCTAAACGTCTTTTAAAGACTTCCAGGGATGGTGACTCCACCACTTCCCTGGGCTCGGTGCCCTTCTATACCACATACGTACAATTTTATTTGACCAACTCTTAATTTCTCCTTTTTCTCCTTCTCTACTGACTAGAGGGCCTGTGATTTTTGTTTTCACTGATTTCGTACTGCTCATTCTGTTTTTCTTAGCTATCCTCCTTATTTGTGACAATGGGACCTTCCTCGTTACCTGCTTAACATAGTCCCCATGGCTGTGGTACTGTCATGCCTGCACAGTCACTTTCAAATGTGCATGGTTAGTGGATTTTCCACTGCAAAAATGACTTCTAGTGCAAAAACACTACCTTGTTTCTCACACAACCCCCACTGTTGTACCTCTGAAATGGCTCCAGAATCACTTTTGAACATGCAAGATTAGTGTAATGTTTTGTCTGCACACAGACATTTAATTCTCATGCAGGGCATTTGGTGGAGGTCTTAGTAATGTGCATGGTCCCTCAGGCAGACTTTCGATCTCTTTAGCAATTTCCTCCATTTTTCTTTCTTTTTCCACATCGTCTGGATCTTTACTCCGCAAAGGAAAGTAAGATTCACCCAGCAGTGGTTCTCTGTGACAGAACAGAAGCGTTTTCAAAAAGAAAACATGTTAATAAGAATTGACAGATTAACGGTAAAGAAGTCTCTTAGCAGAAATCTCAGCAAAGAGCTGCCCAGAGCTCCCTATGCTCCATGATGTTCTCGCTAGAAACACTTCCCTGCACAGAGCAGCAATCTAGCAAAGACTGCTGGGAAAACCCACTCACCGTTGTCTCCTCTTCAGCAACCATTTCACTGAGTAGCCCAAAGCTGCCAGAAGGAACAGACACACAAGGATGGCCAGCACCACAACTGCAGTGTGCTCTGGCATCCATTTGTGATCCAAAGCCTCTGCATTTTTTTCACCACCAGCCCCTGGAGGAAATGGGTAGTCATACACTTTTACAAGTTCTGTACCACCGACAGTCTCACAATGTCTTTGGCAAGTCCGAGCAGTTATCTTCACTTGGTTGCTTTCCCTCATTCTCATGCATTAGCACCAGAAGAAAAGGATGACCAGGTACAGTCCTCCTGAGCAAGAGCCCTCTCATGACAGAGAGGCTGAATGAGGGCTAGCTCCAGCAGCGTCTCTGGGAATGAATATGCATGCCTTACCCATGCAGTTTTTCCCTTTCTCCATACCGCTATCCTGTAGAGAAGATGCAGAGCCAACATTGCTGGACAAATCTGCAAACAAAGGCAGAAAAAAAGAACAGCTCCTGTAAGATACTGCAACAAACACTGCTAGCTTTGAATGGCAGTGAACCCAGTTTGAACTCATAGCTACTCCCCAACACCTGTCATCCTCTTCTAAACCTTTACTCTTACTCCTAAAGAAGCATTGGCAATACACCCCTGTGATGTCCCTGTTGCTCAAAACCAGGATCCATCCTAAAATTCAATGAAACATTCTTCATGGGAACAGCTGAAAGCAAACAGGGAGGAAGAAAGCTAGCATGAAATGCTGCAATATGCTGCTTCCTAAGAAATGCCTGCAAAGGGGCCAGGGTGACCTCCTGGGTGCAGCCTGGCAGCTCCCTTATGAAATACATAGAGCCAGTGTACCCAGATGACTTCTCCAAGACTCAGAATTCCACTGAAGAGATGCAGAGCCAGTACCTTGCCACATCTGCGACCAAAGGCACATGAGAACAGCTCCTGTCACATACTGCAATCAACTCCTTCAGCTTTGAATGGCAGGAAACACTACCACTGCCTGACACCCATCTCCCCCTTCCTTTGACGAGCACATGGCAGTGTGGTACCAGATGCCAGCGCAGGCACTGTATTGGCAGAAAACTCACCATGTGCACAGATCCTGGGGAAAAGGACCCCCAGGAGTTCACCCAGGCTCTAAACAGCCCCAAAAGCTGCTGTCTTTGAAGACAATGCTCAAAGAAGCTCAAGGCTTCAGCAGCTTGCAACGCAGCTTCACAAGATAAAGCAGCCTTGCTTGATTCCCATTCTGCTCTTCCACATATCTGAGCATCAGCAAAGACTGTATGAAGGTACATTCCCCTGAAAACAAGACTGGAAATAAATGCTGACACTGCAAAGCCAATAAAGGTGGGCTGCTTACCCCTGGAAAAGCCTGGATGCTTAAGAAAACTGTACCGCCGAGATGGGTGGCCTGTAGGCAGAGCTGTAAGCAAGCAGAGACAACAAAGTTTTTCTCTCCATGTTGTGCTAGGCTCCCCTGGAAAGGGGCTGCAGAGGCTGGAAGGGGATCGCATAATGCCGTGGAAGCCACACGTGGCTGACACTGGATGAGCCCTGGCTGGGGCCCAGACAAATGCCTAAGGACAACAGTATGGGCAACTCACCCCTGGGATTCCCCCAAGGCTCAGAACCAGTCTTCAGGGGAGAACCTGCAATGGAGTACAGAAGGGGAAAGTTTCTGTGACACATTGTAAGAGGCTTCATCACATGGGATGTGCAGTGACAGCACAGGGACGATGGGATCCACATGTGGGACCCAGAAGCTCCCCAGATGCTGACCCAGGGCAATAGGCACCAGCAGTCAAAGACGTGCTGGATAGACAGGGCTGTGCTTGCCTGCTGGGGGCCTGTTACATTCCCCAAAGCAGCAAAAACTGAATGGGGAGCTGTGGAGGACAACAGGTGTCCTGGCAGAGAGACCTGGCATTGTCAGGGGGGTGCTGCAGGAGAACAGTAGAAAGGCTGTTGTGCCTGGAGTCAGCAGCAGCTGAGCTCTTCCTCCAGGCCATCCCTGAGGCCCCAAGCTGGGATATGGGGAGATGCTTGAGAGCCACTGCCCCCCACCCTGCTGTAACCAGGCACAGGGCAGCAAAGCTCCCATTAGAGCCAGTGGCTTCCCTTATGGCCCTGCCGGCCAAGACTGCTTGCCAGGCAGTCCCCAGAAGGCAGTGCTGGGCCCAGAGCCAGCAGTGCCAGAGCATCCATCACTGCCAACCCTACCTGGGTGCAGTCCTAACCGTGGGATATTCAAGGTCTCCCCGGGACATGGGGCCACCAAGAGGAGGAGAACAAAGAGAAGGAAGAGCAGGCGGCAGCAGCGAGTAGCGGTCCCCTGTGCTTGCCCCATGCTACTTGCCAGCACCCAGAACCTGCTTTGCACCCTCCAGGCCATGAGCACAAGGTGGGGATGACAGGGCATGCTACGGGACCGCTGCATGAATTCATGGGGCCCACTGTGACCTCACAGCACATCTGCAATGAGAGGGCAAATGCTCTGCGGGGGTAGCTACAGCAATGGAAGCAGACCAACTGGCTGCAGAGATAAACCTGTACGTGCTGCTCAGGTGTGGCAGGATATTGCTGCATCAGTCGAGAAGGTATGTAACATTGATGCTCGCATGCCCAAGAGTCACACCCCCAGAGAACATCAGAATAAAGAGGTGGACCGAGCTTTGAAAACTCGTGTCTCAGGTGGATCCAGACAGGGGGATGGTAAGGGTGAGCTGTTTGTAGCTCAATGGGCCCATGAAGTGCCAGGACATAGGGGGAGGGATGCCACATCCAGATCGATGTGCTTGTGATGGAGGGGTGGACCTGACCATTGAGGCCAGCAACACAGGTGACCCATGAGTGTTGAAACCTGTGCTGTGTGTGATGAAATGAACCATGAGAGTGAAGTCTCCCTGGAACAGCAGGCTAGGAGACCAGCTAGGATGGTGTCACTCTCTTCAGGTGACAAGCAACTAGGACACAAGGAAACAGTCTTGAGCTGCACCTGGGCAGGTTTACATTGGATAAAGGGAAGAATTTCTTCACAGAGGGGGGTGGGTGGTCAAGCATTAGGAATGGGCTGCCCCTAGAAGTGGCTGGTGCCCCCCCAGCCGCGGAGGATTTAAGAGACACAGATGTAGCACTACACTAAGGGACATGGCTTAGTGATGGGATTTAGTAAGTCAGGTTGACAATTGTACTTGATGGCCCTGAAGGGCATTGACCTTGCTTTGCCTGTTCCTACACAGGGGTTGTCACCACTGTCTGGCTGTTTCTGACAGCTAGCCTGAGGGGAACACTCTGAGTGCATGGCACAGACCAACAGGACAGTCTGTGCTCCAAGATTGCCCAGAGCTGGACAAGAGCTATTGGCAGATCTTCAATAGCCATGGCTATTTTGGCCATTGTTCTTCCTTCCTCCAATCTACCTGGGTCTTCCCTCTTCAAGACACTGTTAGTATTGCCTAGCGCATGCTATTTCACATGCCAAGCCACTCCAATGAACACTTGCTCCCCCAACAAATGCTCACATTACTGCACTCACAATCAGATGTCCACATAGCCACATTCCCACAGCAGCTTCTTAGCTAGGAAAGGATTTTGTAAAATACATTCTCATTTTAATAGACTGTATTTAATAAAATCCTCCTCAGTGGCATGAAGGAAGCAGCTGTTTTGCTTTTCCTGTCATTTCTCTCTCTCTTCTCAACTTTGCTTTGCCAAGATTTTTGTCCTGGTTTCAGCTAGGATAGAGTTAATTTTCCTCCTTTGGATTAGGATGAGAACAACATTGATACCACACTGATGTTTTAATTGTTGCAGAGCAGTGCTTACACTAAGCCAAGGACTTTCCAGCTTCTCACTCTGTCCTGCCAGCAGCCAGGCTGGGGGTGCAGCAGGAGCTGGGAGGGGACAGACCCAGAGCAGCTGACCCAATCTGGCCAAAAGGGTATTCCATACCATCTGACATCATGCTAAACAATATATTGGGGTAGCTGGGGGGGGGGGGGCATCTGCTCAGGGATAGGCTGGGCATCAGTCAGTGGGCGGTGAGCAATTGATTGTGCATCACTTGTTTTGTGCACAGCATTAGTAGTAGTACTATTATCATTTTCTGTCCTAATAAACTGTCTCTATCTCAGCCCACAGGCTTCATTTTCTCATTTCTCTCCCCCATCCCAGAGAGGGAGGGTGAGCAAATGCCTGCGTGCTGCTTAGCTGTTAGCCAGGTTAAACTGCAACAGTCCTTTTGACACCCAGCATGGGGCACAAAGGGTTGAGATAGCAACAGATCTGACTGGAAGTGTGTTAAAACAAGATTCTTATAAGCATTACATCACTTTAGTAGTTGCTAATCACAATGCCACTTTGTGATCTCAAGTCTGCTGTGCCTGTTTTCCAAATCAAGTTATATAGCACATTACTTAGTGTATGTGTCCCCCGTCATGTTGCTTATCATTTCTGGAGGTCAGGACAGGGTTATTATTTTGCTGTACTATATAACACTGGCTTACAATATGATAAAATCACCAGCTGTGAGACTAATCTGGTATTTGTACTCAGCCTTGTCATCAACTCCATTCTTTGGGAACCCTACCTCAGAAACTATTAGTAACTACACCTTTCATGGTTCTTCTTCAGGGAGCCAATCTACGGAGGGGTCAAGGGAAGATGGTTTTTTGCACTCATTCACTCTCCCTTTTATCTCTCCAGGCGAGTTACGGTAGCTTTCCAAAACTTTGAATATCCTCAGGATGTTCAGACCAGCATGTTCTCATTGTTATGCCTCCTGAATGCACCTTTAGGTTTTGTCTAAGGTTAAACAAATACTTAAGAGTGTCATCCAGAGATTTGTCCTGAGGCAGGATAGTTATGAGTGGCAGGGAGAGTGCCAGAGTACTTGAAAGAGGTGTGTCATCACCCTGGCAGTACCAGACATACAGAAATCACTGCAATGTGCTGGGGCTTGGCCTATGCTTACCAAGCTGCATTTGATGCCACTATAACCCCAGTGACAGACCCTGCGGCCACTTCAACCTGAGACAAGCCCAGCGGCCACTCCAAGCCCTAAAACAGGCCCCAAGGCTGAGCCAGGGAAACAAATTGTGCCAGTGTAGGTTGCACCCATAACCAAGGTAAAAAAAATGGTATAGAGTTGGATCATTTAGTACACAGAGAAACTCCTGCTAGCTATGGAGATGACAAGGCCAGGCCATCAGAGGAACAGGATGAAGAATTCGCAAAAACAGCAGTATCTAGCCAAAATCCATACCAGCATGAGCTAAGAGATGAGCAAAAATAGTTTAGTTACTGTATAGGTGAGCAATTCATCATTTGGCTGCTCTGGTGCTGGGACCCTGGAGTCAATTGTCTGGAATTAGAAGGCAGGGAAGCCCAGCAGCTGGGATTCCTTGTTAGAGATGCAGGCGTTGACAAAGCAATTGGAGATGGAGTAAGACCTTATAGCCTCTGGAGGCGTCTCCTGTCAGCTGTGAGGGAAAGGAAGAACTTGTATGCCTACCAGGCAAATGGACCACTATGGAAGAGGGAATCCAGTACCCGAGGGAATTAGCCATATAGGAGGTGACTTATGAGGACCTAGACAACAAACAAATATCCACAGGTCCAGATGAAGTCAAGTACACGACGCACATGGCAGAAGTTTGTACAGAGTGCACCATCATCATATACTAGCTCATTGGCAGTAATGAGCTGGAAAGAGCATGAGGAACCCACAGTGGTGAATTGGCTGAACAACTCTGTCAATACGAAGAAAGTCTCTCCTCTTCCCTATAAGGCTGTGTCTTGGCTGTGGAGAAACTTCCTGAAGAGGTCCACCAACTTAAAGAGAACTTGTCTTCCTCCCCACCTGTACAAACCAGTGTCTCAGCTATCAGGGGTAAGCATCCTTCTGTGCAAGGAAGACAACAGAGTACACACCCCATGCCACCCTGGGGTTTTACCTACATGACCACGGAGAGGACATGAGAAAATGGGATGGAAAATCTACCTCGACCCTAGAGGCACAGGTACAGGGGTTGCAAAAGAAAACAACTGGGAAAAGGGGGTTCTCTGAAAAGCTTGCTGCTCCAATTTCCATCAGGCAGTCCTTCAGACACAGAAATGAAGATTTCAACCAGGACTAGAGGGGCCCTGCCTCCAACCAGGGGGAGGAAAGGGACAATCAAGTTTATTGGACTGTGTGGATTTGATGGCCTGGCACATCAGATGCACAGAAATAAGGCTTTAGTAGACACTGGTGCACAGTGTACTGTAATGCCATCAGGCTATAAAGGGACGAAACCCATCTGTATTTATGAAGTGACGGGGGATCTCAACAGTTGACTGTATTGGAGGCTGAAGTGAGTCTGACTGGGAATGAGTGGCAAAAGCACCGTATTGTAACTGGCCCAGATGCTCCATGCATTCTTGGCATAGATTATCACAGGAGAGGATATTTCAAGGACCCAAAAGGGTTCTGCTGGGCTTTTGGTATAGCTGCCTTAGAGACAGAGGGCATTAAACAATTGTCTACCTTGCCTGGTCTCTCAGAGGACCCCCTTCTGTTGTGGGGTTGCTGAGGGTCAAAGAACAGCAGGTACCAATCACTACCACAACCGTGCAGCAATATCACACCAACCGAGACTCCCTGATTCCCATCCATAAGCTAATTCATCAACTGGAGAGCCAAGGAGTGATCAGCAAGACTCATTCACCTTTTAATAGTCCCATGTGGCCAGTAAAAAAGTCTAATGGTGAGTCTAATGGGGTTTTGGAGGCAGGGATACAGAGGATCTGATGCCCGCTACACTCCAACCAAAAAGGAGATATTAGTAGCATATGAAGGAGTTCGATCTGCTTTGGAAGTGATTGGTACTGAAGCACAGCTCCTCCTGGCACCCTGACTGCCAGTACTGGGCTGGATGTTCAAAGGAAGGGATCCCCACTACACATCACACAGCTGATGCTACATGGAGCAGGTGGGTCACACTGATTGCTCAGCAGGCTCGAATAGGAAACTCCAGTTGTCCAGGAATCTTGGAAGTGATTATGGACTGGCCAGAATACAAATATTTTGAAATATCACATGCTGAAGAAGCCCCACTATATAGCAAGCTACCAGAACATAAGAAGAAATATGCCCTGTTCACTGATGGGTCCTGTCATATAGTGGGGAAGTACTGGAGATGGAAAGCTGCTGTATGGAGTCCTACACAAGTTGCAGAAGCTACTGAGGGAAAAGGTGAATCGAGTCAGTTTGCAGAAGTGAAAGCCATCCAGCTGGCATTAGATATTGCTGAACAATAAAAGTGGCCAGTTCTGTATCTCTACACCGATTCATGGATGGTAGCAAATGCCCTGTGGGGGTGGTTACAGCAATGGAAGCTGAACTGGCAGCACAAGGGCAAACCCATCCGGGCTGCTGCATTGTGGCAAGATATTGCTGCCTGAGTAGAGAACCTGGTTGTAAAGGTATGCCATGTAGATGCTCATGTGCCCCAAAATCAGGCTACTGAAGAACATGAGAACCACCAGCAGGTGGATCAGGCTGCTAAGGTTGAAGTGGCTCAGGTGGACATGGACTGGCAACATAAGGGTGAATTATTCATAGCTGGATGGACCCATTGCACCTTAGGCCATCAGAGGGGAAGGTGAGCAAACAGCTGTGTGGTGCTTAGCTGCCAGCTGGGTTAAACCACAACAATGAAGCAGCTGTTCTGTTTTTCCTGTCATTCCTCTTTTCTTAACTTTGCTGTGCCAATTTCTTTTTCCATCCACACTGTCAGAATTGCTCTGATGGCCAGCCTGAGGTGAACAGTTGGAAGACGCAGAATGAAGTAGCTTTGTGCTTTAGTAGTTACCCTCCCACAACTCTGAGGAACCCTCCCACACTTGTCCAACAATACAGAAGTTAAATCACTAACTTGTCTGGGGTCCCCCTCTGTGCAGCTGAGTGTGGACAGGGTCTTCCCACTGCCAGAACCAGGGCACTTCAGGAGTCCACGAGAGTGGGTAGGATCTACAGGTTAGAATCCATTTCTTGGGACTGGAAATTGGAGGACATTGCCATCTCCAACTCTGTGAGATCTTCTCTTCTACAGTGAAAGCAAGCTTCATCTGCAACACAAATTTTTGGAAAAGAAATATCATTAATTAAGAAGCAAATGGTAAAAATGTCTCCCAAGAGAAATCAACAGCCAGGTGCAGGTCGACATTCTGAGTGCATGCCACAGTAACAATTGCACCACAACCAACCAGGGCTTGGCCAAAACTAAGGAATAGCTATGGGCAAATCTTCCATCACACGCACACATACATGTGCACACAGGCACATTATCACAGGGGCAGCTAACTTAAATGAAAGGCAGGACAGAACTAAAGAGCTCCAAAATATCTCCTTTAGCAGAAGTTAGGATTTCACAGAATGCATTTGTCTCCCATTCCCTTCCCCTGCAAATTTGCACATCAGCTTACATAGCTTCACTGCCCCCTCCTCCAAGGGATAGAGCCAGCTCTGCCATCAAATTCACTGGAAGCACTGGAATTACTCAGAAGAAATTCCCTTTTTGCACAGTATCATTCATTTCTGTCTAGAGAAATACTTGGGAAAAGTACACCACCACCCTGGCAATTCCAGAGAGATGAGAGTGACTGCAGCCTGGCCCATCCATGCCTACCAGACCTACACTTAATCCTAATCCAACCCCTGTGACCACCCCACCACCACCCCACAGAAAGAGAAGGCAGCCCTGAGCCCACTCCAACCCCTATGACAGATTCTGTAGCTGGGACAGAGAATTACCTATGCCAGTACCAGTCACCCCCATCAGTCACCAGCTGCCTTGCAGGTTAGACCACAACAAATAGCCTAAAATAGCCTGTTGTAGCCTCAAATGCAATGCACTGCAGCACGTCCCAAGCCAACAGAGGTGTAAAGTCAGTTCTTACTCTGTGACAGTAGTTAAGCCTGACTCTTACCCCCGCAATCAGCTTCCTCCTGAGGGTGAGTGGAAGGGCAGGCAAAACTCTTCTCTTTAGTGACCAGTGATAGGACTCGCAAGAACATCATCAAGCTGCAACTGGGGAGGTTCAGGCTGGACATCAGGAACAGGTTCTTCACCAAGAGGGTTGTTACACACTCAAACAGGCTCTCCAGGGATGTAGTCATGGCACCAAGTCTGTCAGAGTACAAGAAGCATTTGTACTGTGCTCTTCATTATATAGTCTGAATTTTTGGGTAGACCTGTATGGAGCTAGGAGTTAGACTCGATCCTCGTGGGTCCCTTCCAGCTCAGGATATTCTATAATTCTATGATTAATCTGCCCATGGCTCTGGCAAAGGATGTAGCTGAAAGGCAGCTTTCTGCAGAGATTTTAGATACATGCATGACCTACAGGCACTCCTGCCATCAAATACAGAGAAGTTTTCATTCCATGCTGTGACAGCCTCCTCCATTGGAGGAAGGGCAATGACTCTACAGGCCAAGGTTGATGTGGGATGCTCACACAGGGCTGGATACCCACAGCTGCAGGGAGCCTTTGCCTGTGATGTCAGTGCCCTCCAAGGGAACAAGTGTTCAAGATTTACTTCTGCCATCCCTTGGATGACCCCATGAACAGCAGTGCACTTGCAAGGAGGGGCTGAACCATCACTACCACCAGTTGCGTCTCATCTTCAGAGAAAGAATGCTTCCTGGCAACCCTAGGTTGATTACAAGTACAATGAACTATTACAAATTTTAAAAATTCAAAAGACAAATTAACAAGTATTTCTAGATTATTCCTTTGAAAGTACAAGGGGTAGTTAACCCGGTGCTAACATGGAAGCAACACCTTCACCAAGATCAACTCCGAGCAATTAAGAAACCATCTTAAGAAAATTAATTTTTATCTCTTTCTCTAAGAGAGAAAAGCTCAACTACCTCATAGTACAGTATGTTGCCATTTTATCTTGGGAACACCCACTAGGAAATAGAGATGCACATTATAGTATGTGTTTTTCAGAGAGTGAGTTACATGTTCAGGGTAGGGGACTGACATCAGCACGTATCCATAAACTGGATTTACTTTATGGATCCTGTTTTTTGCTCAAGGCCCTGCATGCTTTCTCCTGTAACACCAGATTCAGAGCCAAGGTCTCTGAACTCCACAGGGGGAGAAGGGTACTTTTCTTTATAGGGAACTAAATCCATGTGATTATTTTAGTTAAAACAAGTTGTGGAAAGATCCTCTCTTCCTGCTAATGTGTCTTGTTTTGGACAGACTTCCTCAACCCTTCCAAATACAATTTTTATTGAGAATGGCCATTCATCACTGTGAGTACTGTCATTTCCAGTATGCCACACCTCATAACCATTTTCCATGTTGAAGTGTTCCAAGTGCCCTCGTGTGTTTTTTTTAACTCTAGTTGAAAGCTTAAATGATTAAATAAACTATTAAAAATTAGTTATAAATAAGCTTCAATCTTTAGATAGCTTTAGGTAGATCTTAAGTTCTGACATTTTATGCACATTTCCTAGTGCTGACCTCAAAAACCAGCCATGGGCATTATTTATACTCATTTCTATCTTCCTCCAAATGAGCAGCCTCAGAAACAATTGAGCCCATTTCACACACAACTGGAGGTAATTCTCAGAAGCATCCAATTCATTTTGAACATCACCTTTTGGCTTCTTAAACCTTAAAATACTCCCTTGAACCTCTAACAAGAAGTTACTAGCTTCATAAAGGAAAATAAGAGTTGAAAGTGTTTGAAAATATGAAAGCATTTTCATGTAACAGCAAAGTTACAGGAGTGAAAGCAAGAAGTTCTACAGGAGTCAAAGCAAACAGTTCTACAGGACTTCTAAAAAGGATTTGTAACCACAACCTGGTCCACCCAATTGGAAGGGTTACTTTTATACTTGCATTCTTTCACCAGAAGAGCAGCAAGCATTTTCATTTTTGTTCAGAAGTTATCGTTCTCTCCATAACATCATGGGACCAAAGCCTAAGACCTACAGAATTGGAAACAGACAATCAAAGTAAACGGACAGATGAGCAGAAGCATACTGATTCACAGAAAATGCAGAGGTAGGGGATGTTGTAGAAACAAGTGATGGATAGCCACTCACAAAAGGAAAGAAGGGCACAGTTGACAAGAACAGACATCTTGAAAGACCCAAGAACTGCTCAGGAAAGTAGAGAAAAAGAGACAAAGGAAAATTGGAGCAGTGTAGGACATTATATTTCTGTCACCACAGCTACATTAACTTCAGCTTTGTACAGCAACTGCTGTTAGATGTTTCCTTCCACAAGGCATCAGAATAGCAGCTAAGTAAACTGAATATTGTTGTATTGAAAAATGCAATTGGACAACTGTCTGATCAATTTGAATATTACTGGTAAGACAAGATTAAGTTGTCACAGTATGATAACTATGTGTATGAAATCTTGGGGTACCATGCAGAGTGAAAGCCAGTAGTTTGCATTTGAGATTCATGCCACAAAAGTGAAGAAGTTATGCATCTAGAATTCCTCTCACTTTAAAAATGAAGAAATTCCCCAAACTAGTCAGGAGATTGAAAAAAAGGGTCATTTAGAGTAGTATGCAGTGTGTTCCCCCTGCAGCCTCCCTCCAGCCACCAGTGCAGCACTTGCTGCACAATTTATAAGCCAGTCCCCCAAGTCTCCACCTCCAGCCCTCACCCCATATGCTTATTACCCCACATGAGCAGCCCATGTTCCAGAACCTTCTGGAAAGGGCTAGAAAGGAGGAGGTGGTCAGCAGGGGGTGCTGCTGCTGCTAAGGTCTTCCCCCATGCTGTCAGAACCACAGCTGCAAAGACAGCACAGGTGGTTACTACATGGTGCCCAGAGAAGCCAGGAGATGAAATGACCCTGTTTTCAGAGTAGCATGCAGTGTGTTCCCCCAACACCCAAAAAAGTAAACAAGGTGTAGTGCCTTCACTACCTACACCTATCATCATTCTTCTTTTTAAAAGAGGACTGAGAAACAGAGGACACAGGCACGTTCTGGAAGTGCTATGTCACCTTTGTTTGCTTCCCCACCAGACTCATTTTTCTGTTTATAAGTCCTAAAGGAGTTCTGAAATCCTTGATGAATTTTAGGGAAGATGGAGAAGCCTTGAAGGACTGTTTCAAAGATGCTGGTAATGCAGTTCTTGAACTAGGAAGCTGGTCAAGAGCTGCCAGAAAGGTGCTTGGTTTAGTAAGCACAAATGACAACCATGACCACATTACCCAGCAACCCCTCACCATTTCACCAAACACCCTACAAATAAAATACTGAAAAGCCCTGTCTTTTGAATTGCCCTTGTACTTGACTGTGACAGAATATGGGCTTCTACAAGCAATCTACTCCAAGTCCTTCCCATTTCCTTAAACCACATTACTTCTTTGCCCTTAGGAAGAAATAGTTGATTGTACGTACTCTGTAACTCCCTAGGGACTTAAGAAATAGATCTGTATTTTCAAACCATCTTTAGAGGACACCAAACAAGGAAATTCTGGCATGAAGAGACACCTTTACTAGTCCATTATCCTGTTTTCTCTATCTAAAACAACTACAAGAGGTAGCACAGCAAAGGAACTGTATCTCTCAGATCTACCCTTCATCTTGGTCATTTACAGGCAAAACATTTTGGAGATTCAAATACATGGAAGCTTCTGCAAACCAAACAAAACCACAAACATCAGTAACAGAATAGGAAGCGATTACAAGAAGGGCAGCTAGCTAGCATCCACATAGTGTAAAAATACAGTGAACATTACATATTTTCAGGTAATGAAATGGTAAAGGCACACTCAGTGAAGACACACCTATGTCAAAAGTGCCTGTAAACATTTTGACAACCTGTGGTGTTTCTAAATTAGCAATCACCTATTGCCATGTTTACATAAAGGCTTGACCTTTTTAAGTCAGAAATAAAATTCTTCCCATCAGTGAGGTATTTCCCTTCTGGGTCCATGTGTTGCATTTCTCTCCTCATGGGAGAAATGGGGCTAACATTTTTAAGAGCTCTTAAGCCACAAACAGCTTGTTTGGTTTTGCTCTAAATTTGTAGAAGGTAGCTATGTTCTCAGCAGTAACAGCCCGTCTTACCACATGCTTTTCTGTTCTGGGATGCTATTTGCTGCCACCAGTGTGACCTATGTCAAATATTGCCATTTTTTAAATAAGCTGGACTTCAATGCTGGTCTGGCATGCATTATGTTTGATACAGAAACAAATGTTGAGGTTACCTGCTTGTACATGTTAGGCCCAAGCATTCTCAGAAGTATGATAGGGCTGCCCCAGCAAGCCCAGAGCACTGGCAGAGCCAGTTCCCCTGAAGCTCGGGAGCCTTTGCACAAAGAACCATCGCAGTTGTGCACAGGGGTCCAGTCTCTTTAGAACATAGACCTGTTCTCACTGCGGACATTGAAGTGTGCATGGCACAAGTTTGAAGTTGCTAATGTTAAGTGAGGTGAAGAGCATGGCCACCTCCTCCAGCCCAGGACTGCTCCTGCATGGCTGCTTGTGCCCAAGGGAACCCCTCTGCCCAGGCTGTGTAATGCAGCTCCACTTAGAGAAGTTAGAATGCTAACACAGCTGAGCACAGTTACAAGGGACACACAAACAGAGCTGCCTGAGCCAAAGGCAATCTTCAAAACAACTAATGGAAACATTAAGACTCGGTCAAGTCCCCTTCTTCCTTTCCAGCTAGGGAGGATACAAGTCCACTACTGCAGGCACGCACGCAGCACTCTCCATTTTCACAGGAACACACACAGCTGCAGATCCTTGAACACCAAAAAAGGCCCCTCTGGCTGTCCAGAACCCACATCTCAGACCCCTTACCTACTTCACAGTTCTCCTCCTCACCAGCAGTTCCAGCTTCAGTTCTCAGGCAACACTCCATCCTGGTTTGGGCTGGAATTATTTCCTCCCAGTAACTGGTGTGGTGCTGTGTTTTGGATTTAAAATGACTCACGTTGGTAACACACTGGTGTTTTGTTACAGAGCAGTGTTTTCAGAAAGCCAAAGACTTCTCAGCTTCTCACACCACCCTGCCTGCATGCAGGCTGGGGGCACAGAAGGAGGGGACAGAACCAGGACAGCTGACCCCTGGCTGGCTTCAGGAATATTCCAGATGTGGCTTCCTGATGAGCGGTTTCAAGGGGTGACTAGCCAGAGGGCTTGAAGACCTCTGTGTGGGGACAGCCTAGGAATCAGCCAGGGGGTGATGAGCAATTACATCATTGCTTGATTTGTACAGATTTTATTACTTTTTTTTCCTCTTCCATTCTGTTGAACTGCCTTTATATCAGCACACAAGCTCTTAGCTGCCCTTCCACCCCGGCCTTCTCTCCCCATGCCACTAGGGGAAGAAGAGTGACCCAACAGCTGCATGGTGCTGAGCTGCCAGCTGGGTTAAGCCAGCACACACTCACACACTGATCCCTCAAATTCACCATGCTCAGAAAACCCCCTCCCCTAGAATCCCCACCCAACACCTGGCCCAGACCTGAGGCCCCTGCTATTCACCCCAAGCCCAACTGAAGAGCCCGTAAGTGAATACACAGCCACAGCCCAGCCTGGGGAAGGCACATGTAGCCCTCACCAGCACCAGGCATGACCTCCAGCCTCCCTCTGGCCACCCCTGCAGAGCCCTGCCCTCCTCTTGCTCATGCCAGACTCCTCCCATCCCCAACAGCTCAGCTGTGCCACACCGCTCCCATCCCAGCACCTCCATGTACCAAACCCCACTCCACCCCAGCCCTGAGAGGTGACCATACAGGTTGCCTCCCGAAGAGTAGCGAGACTACTCCAGCCTCAGTGTCTCACCATGGGCTCAACAAGGCACTAATGACAGCTCCATTGGTCCACGCAAACCTGAGAAGCCCCCAGCTCCCCAGGTAGAGGAAGAGGCAGGAGTGCACAGCAAACCCAGGCACCACCAAAAACCACCCTGTCCTACTCAGCACCATTTATAGGTCAGCCCTGAGGCTCCGCCCCCAGCCCACACACACTAATTATGCTAAGTGTGCTAATTAGCCACATGTGCAGTCTGTGCAAGTTTTAGCCAACTCAGGGAGTGTGCTGTCTATCAACCACAAGGACAGGATTGATGCAGGGAGTGCGAGGGTGGGATGACCCCAAAAGATAAGGGAAGAAAAGGCTTCATACACACACATAATAGAACCAGAAAGAACTGGCTTGGGCTGCTGAAGTCTGTAAAAGAAAGGAAGGGTCAGAAGTTTAGCAGCGAGGAAGACTGCTGGCCTTCATCAAAAAACCACCAGAGTACACTGGACTATCACTCAAGGACTCTAGCATGTGTGCAAACAGGGGTGGGAACCTATGTTAATAATTCTTTGGATACCTAATGAATATGCAAGAGACTTATGGGGAAGGGAGATGAATATGTATATATGCTGTTAATATAAGCACCCCGGCAGTAACCTTTGGTGTGTGAATTAGGCAGAGTGATCCCCCGACACACCCAGCACTGTAATAAAGAATACCTGCTTAATAACTTTGGTTACTGAATTTTCACTGTGTCAGACTCAACCTGTCCAGGTCCCTCTGCAGGGCCTTCCTACTCTCTGGCATATTGACACTCCCCCCAGTTTGGTGTCATTGCAGCTTACAGAGGGTGCACTCTGTTCCCTCATCCAAATCATCAATAAAGATATTAAACAGGATGGCCCGCAACACTGACCTCTGGGGATCACCACTTGTGACCAGTCACCAGCTGGATTTCACTCCATTCACCACCACTCTCTGGGCCTGGACATCCAGCCAGTTTTTTATCCAGCAAAAATGTACCTGTCCAAGCCGTGGGCTGCCAGCTTCTCCAGAATACTGTGGTAGACTGTGTTAAAGGCCTGACTGAAGGCTAGGTAGACTTCAAGAGCCTTTCCCTCATCCACTAGGTGGGTCACCCGGTCACAGAAGGAGATGAGATTGGTCAGGTGGGACTTGCCTTTCGTGAACCCATGCTGTTTGGGATCATCCCCTGGTTGTCCTGCACATGCTGTGTTATTGCACTCAGGATAATCTGTTCCATCACCTTCCCTGGCACCGACCGAGGTCAGGCTGACAGAAGCATACCAGCTACTATGAGGGAAATTAACTCTATCCTAACTGAAGCCAGGACAGATGGGAATCACGGAGTCTTGGTGGGATATTGCTGCTAGTGCACTGTCATGGTAGCAATCAGCACCTGCTGAGGGTTCTTTGACCTTCAGTAACCCCACAACACAAGGGCCCTCCAACAGGGAAGACAGCTGCTTAATTTTCCCTGTCGCCAAGGCAGCTATGCCAAAAGCCCACCAGTACCCTTCTGGGTCCTTGAAGTACCCTCTTCTGAGGTAGTCTGTGCCAAGCATGCATGGAGCCTTGGGGCCAGTCACAGTGGGGTGCTTTTGCCATTCCTTCCCATGTAAGGCTCCTTTCAGCCTCCAAGACAGTTAGCTGTTGGGATCCCACATCACTCCAGAAATATAAATGGGGTCTGCCCATATACAGTTTGATGGCATTTTGTGGGCACTGTGCACCGGTGCCCACTCAAGCCTTACACTTCTGCGGATCTGGATGTGCCAGACCACTGAATCCACACCATCCAATAAACCTGGTTATCCCATTCCTCCACCTGTTCTACATTCAAGTATCATGTCCTCCAAGCTCAAGATTGATGTATCCCTATGAGCAAGAAGGCAGGCAAAGGGGGCAGGAGATCTGCCTGGATGAGCAAGGAGCTCCTGGCAAAACTCAAACAGAAGAAGGAAGTATACAGCATGTAGAAAAATGGCCAGGCCACTTGGGAGGAATATACAAGCGTTGTCAGAGTATGCAGGGATGTGATGAGGAATGCCAAGGCCCATTTGGAAAAAATCTGGCACAGGGTATCAAGGACAACAAGAAAGTTTTTTTCAGATATATCAATAGAAAGAGGAAGGCTAGGGAAAATGTGGGCCTGCTGCTGAATGGGGTGGGTGCCCTGGTGACAAATTACAGAGTGAAGGCAGTTACTGAATGCCTTCTTTGCTTCTGGCTTCACTGCTAAGAGCAACCCTCAGGAATCTCAGATGTAAGAGACAAGAGAAGTCTGGAGAAAGGAGGACTTTACATTGGTTGAGGAAGATCAGGTGAGAAATCATTTAAGCAAACCTGACACCCACAAATCCATGAGCCCCAATGGGATGCACCCAGTGCTGAGGAAGCTGGCAGATGTTATTGGTAGGCCACTCTCCATAATCTTTGAAAGGCCATGGAGAACACGAGAGGTGCCTGAGGACTAGAAGAAAGACAGTATTATTTCAGCCTTCAAAAAGGGCAAGAAGGTGGATCCAGGCAACTACAGGCCAGTCAGCCTCACTTCTGTCCCTGGAAAAGTGATGGAACAGCTCATCCTGGAGGTCATCTCCAAGCATGTGGAAGATTAGAAGCTGATCAGGAGTAGTCAGCATGGACTCACCAAGGGAAAATCATGCTTAATCAATCTGATAACCTTCTATGAAAGGATGACTGACTGGGTAAATGAGCAGTGGATGTTGTCTACCTTGATTTCAGCAAGCTTTTCGACACTATCTCCCATGACATCCTCATAGACAAACTCAGGAAGTGTGAATTTCCTTGGAGAAAATATCTCCCTGATATTTACTTTGGTTGAATGAATAAATTGTACTAAATGTTTTGATTCTAGTGTTGAAGGATGTTGATTCTAATGCTGAAGGATAAAGCAAAGCACACTGAAACTATCTTAAGACCTCACCACCCACACCAGAAAAATGTTCAGCATCACCACAACAGAGCATTAGACACAGGTAGGCGGTGGGGTTTACAGCAGTCATCACTTAGCATGCCTGTAGGCATTGTCATAAAACTGGGAATTATCAGACTGTACTTAGGCACTTCTGTAAATTGTTTACTTCATTATTCAAGTAAGATTGAATTTTAGCATCCCAGTCTCTGTACTCACATCCTACCTTCAGCTGTGAGAAGCTGTGTGACAGCCTTACTCTCCCTTCGGAGCAAGCAGGGTGAGAGGAGACCTGAGGGACATGTTTGATTCCTTTATCAGACTATTGAGATCACTGAACTTCATGTGCCCTATTTGTTCAGCAAGTGCACTAACCACTAAGCTTTTATGTATAATAAGGTCAGACCACCACTTCTTCCTCTTGTGGCCATGTTTTGGAATGAAAATGTGTCATACTCAGTGCTGTCATAAGTAGGGGTGACTAGATAATGAATGTCGAATAGATTTAGGCTTGAGATAAGTACTGAGACATGCCATTTAGCTGCCCTGGGGCATGTGAATTGGCAGAACATTTTGTCAGGAGGGAGCTTTACCCATGGAGAGCTGAAAGCATATGGCCATGTCACTATTTAGGCTGCCAAAATACTTATGTGGAGTTAAGGTGAATCGTATACTCGCACTGAAATCACTTACTTTTAAGTAAGTAAGAATGATGTTTTTGGTGACTTTCAATAACTTAGCCTCATGTTCAGTTTTCATGATTCTCTTTGGACCTCTACTGAGGAGTTCCTAAAAAGTGTTGTGTTTTATTTATTTATTTATTTGAGTAAAGCCAGTTCAGAAGCCAGTTCAGAAGCTATGCAGGATGTTCCTAACTGCCTATGCAGAGGCACTGATCGGAGCCTGCTCCCAGGGGAGTGTTTTGCAACTGGGTGAATGAGTAGTGGAATTTAGATCTTTGTGCACTGAAAAACTAGTTGAAAGCTCAACAGAGTGCAATGGTGCTGGAGTCTTTATTTGGACAGTGAAAGGATTTTGTAGTAGGACTGAGGGAGAGGGTGCTACCTTCTATAGCAGGTACAAGTAGATGGCCATAGAGCCATAGAGCCAGAACTCTCTATTGCTTCTGCTGGGGATACCCTTAAGATGTGCTCAGCACCTACAGCCTTATTGCTAAGCAGAGGCTCTGCTGGTCTTCACAGTCCACATAAAGCAATACTGTAACTATTTGTGCAGGGAAAACAAAAAGAACAAAAACAAACAAACAAAAAAAAGACGCTTGTCCAGTCCAATCTAAAAGGAATTGCGAGACTCTGATAAACAATTTTCATATGTAAACTGTGAGTGGTTGAGAGTGCTTGCATGGTTCCCTGTTTACTAAACTGCCTGGATTACAACAGCTAATACAATAGGAAAAGCTTGGGGTGGGGGTGACAGGGATCACACCCAAACCCGTTCAGCCATACTCAAAAGGAAAAAGTCTTCAACAAATTGAAAAAGCAACCTGCAAATTACAAAGAAATTTTTGACGCAACAGGAGTCAGCTTGCAAAGCAGTATAAAGTAGGCAGGGAAATTTGTACTGGGAGACGGAGATGGGGAACAGAGCTATGCACTCACCGGAGCGTGGGGTGGGCACAGGGGCTTCATGGGGGCTTTCTCACCAGGGTGGGTGCAGGAAGCAGCACGGGGAATGACACAAGGCTGGGGCACGCACCTGCCCCACAAGGAGGGGTGTGCACAAGGGGCACCCACGGTGGCGGGGCCTGTTGATACCAGTAAATAGCTTGATTGTTTTGTTCACTTTGTTTTGTGTGGAAGAGATAAAGTATGTGCTTTGAGGAAAGGGCAAGATGACCCTGACCTTGGAGATGTCTGATGGATGATTAACTGAGGAACTAGTAATCAGACAAACTGTTATGTTGACATTCTTGAGGGAAACATTCTGGTTAGGTCCTTGAATGTGTTACCAATAAATATAATGTGAATAGCTGACTGAAAAACAAAGATTGGGAGTATTCTTATGTGAACTATCCATGAACAAACCTCGTGATAATAGTAAAAAATTAAGTCTCTCCGGGGTGTGAGACCCCAGCGCAACAAGGGACCCTCCCTCTCTGAGGATGCGCAGAATGATTGTGTCATGTCAGCAGTGTGCTAATTAGGTAACCAGTCGGAGACAAGGGAATTGTACAA